TCCGTGTGTGTGTGTGTGTGTGTGTGTGTGTGTGTGTGTGTGTGTGTGTGTGTGTGTGTTGTCTGTGTGTGTGTGTGCTCTGTCTGTCTGTCTGTCTGCCCGGGCCCACACAGTTCTGTGGTAGATATATAGGGGGGTACACGTGTGTGTGTGTGTGTGGGGGGGGATGTGTGTGTGTATCTGTACGTATGTGTGTTTCAACATGGAGCCGGCTGGGAGATACGTCTTTATCAGCGGATATTATTCTGGTTCGTCGCTGTTTTTGTGAGTTGGGTTTTTTTGTTTGCTTTGTGTGTGTATGTGTCTGTCTATCTATGTGTGTGTGGTGTCTGCATGTGTGTCTGTCCGTGTGTGTGTGTGTGTATTTGTGCTTGTGTGTGTGTTTCAAAATCTAGGCTGCTGGGAGATACGTCTTTGTCACTGGCTATGATTCTGACACGTAGTATTGTGGAAACTGTCGAAGTTGTGGCCTCCCGTTGCCTTGACAGATGGATGTGTGGCCTCCCGTTTCATAGACAGTGGATGTTTTACGAAGTGTTCTTAAAATGTAAAGAAAACGCCGGGGGGAGGAGGGGGGGGTGATGGTTTTCATGAAACTTAGTTCAATCTCAGAAGTGTGGAATTCCTGTGATGTTTTCTGACATTTAAGATTTTTAGCGTAATCCTACTTGCTGTTACAATTTTAATTTTGTAATTTCAGGTTCCTACGTGTAAGTCGAGATTTTTCGTCTTGATAACGTATTTGTGAAAAATATGTTTAATGGGGTTTTTTTGGTTTTTATCTTAGGAGAGACATTCCTTTTTTCTTTGTATATGTAGATTACATTTTTCTGTTGAAATTAGGTGGTGGCTATTTTTTATTTTTTAATGGCAAGGTTTTTTTAGATGGTTTTCTTCTGCTTTTTAAAGTCAGGAGCAGTTGTCTTTGTCACGTTCTGCAGCTATTTTTCCTTTTTTTTTTATCGGCACTTTTTTATTTGTATTATAAGTTGACACCTATTTGTATTACTAGCAGTTTTTATTTACCTTTATAGCGGGTTTCAGCTTGACTTGCAGTACTTTTGTGTAGAAAGTTGGCACCTAGATCTAGTTTTCTTTTCTTTTTTTTTTTTGCTTTCATTTTTATCGGCAGATTTTGTTGTATTTTGTTACTTATTTTTTCATTTCTTAATTGGCTTTTTTTGTAACTTTAAGTTTGCATCTATTTTCTTTTGTAGTCATTTTTTCCTTTTTTAAAAAACTGACAGTTTTTGGCATTTAGATTGAAAGATTCAAGGAGTATTCACACTCTTAGATGTTAGCACCAAAGATTCATGGAATATTCACACTTTTAGACGCTGCAAAGACTAAAGGAATATTTATTTTTAAGAAATGTTAGCCCCAAAAATGGTTTAAAAACATTTACATTGTGGTATGTAAGATGAGTTCGATGTTGTTGAAAAATGTGGAGAGTATGGCCCCAAAGATTCACAGAATAAAATGTTGATAAAATATTGTACAGGATTTGGTATAGCCCCAAGATTGCTGTAGAAAAATGAGTCTTTTACTTGTGTGTGTAGGAATGTAGGCTTTGGTTCGATGGAAGAAATGCTGGAAATATGATCCCGTAAATTGAAACCTTTACCTGCAGTTAGGATTTGTTTTAGTAAGCGAAAAAATGCTAGAAATATAAAAATGTCCATAGTATTAGGGCTGGATTTGGTTTAGCCTATATGTGATGGTGATCAAGGACTTGGGTTTTTAGTGTGGTCGTATTTCTTCTGTGTTGTCCTTAGTTTGGTCGGATCTGAAAAATTTCCAGAATATTACCCAAAATAGGAAAATGATAGGCATTTTGAAAATGTTTATATTGGATTTCACTTAGCCTCAAAAAGGCAAAAATGAATATAAATTTCCTTTATGTTTTACAGGATTTGGATTTGGCCTCAAAAATACTTTAGTAAGAGAACTCTCCTTTGTGTCAAGTTAGTAGTGATCAGTTTCTTGGTTCATCTAGGCTGTTTGTTTGGTTTCTCCCCTACAATGCTGAACACAAACATTATTGTAGTGTTCTTTTGGTTGCCATTGGTTTTGTTTTAGTTTCAGCCAAAAGGAAAAAAAAAAAAACTTGTTTAAAAACGACATTGTATTGGGGTTTTTTTTTTAGCGCTAAAATACAAACATTAACAATTTGTTTGTGTTCTGTGCAGTTTGATTATTTCCCCAAAAAGCTAAAAATAGACCTCTCTCGTGTGTTGTTCTTTCAGGGTTTGGTCTGGCCAGTGCGAAGGCGATCAGAGACCTTGGCTTTGGCGTGATCGCCGGGTGCTATGACGACAACAGTGCCGGGGCCAAGGAGCTGAGGGCACGGCCGTGGGTGCAGAAGGTCGAGGTCGTTTCTCTAGACGTGACCAATGAGGCAAGCGTGGCCGCCTGCGCCAAGGAGGTGCGGGAAATCTGCCAAGACCAAGGTGGGCCCTCGTTTTGGTTTGAGTTAAGAGTTTTACAGCACTTGCAACACAGTTAGGTCATATAAGTGTTGAAGATTAGTTTTAGTTTGAGTTAGAGTTTTAGAGCACTTGCTCACAATTAGGTTGTATAAGTGCTGAAGCTTATGGGTGAGATGAAAAGAGATAAAATGAGATGGATTAACAAGATAAGATGAAATGAGATGAAATGATGAATAATATCAGATTTGATGAGATAAAAATAAGACGACGTAAGAAAAACTTAGGTGAGGTAAAATAAAACAAGGTAGATCATATATGATAAGATAACCTAGATCTAACTTGAGATAAAGATATTGAGATGAAATAAGATAACATTAGACGGAATGACACTAGATGTGATAGACTATGATAAGATAACTAAGATGAAATAGATGAAATGAAATAATATGAGATTAGCTAAGATGAGATAAAATAAGAGAAGGTGAAATGAGATGAGATAGATAAACCATCATTCCTCCTTCTCCTCTCTCCTCCTCCTCCCTCCACCCCCACCCCCC